ATCAGGAACCATTCACTCAAGTCCTTGCTTAGGCAAACTGTTTGGACTTCAGCAATCTTACTTAAAACTGTTGCAATCACGTAACAAAGAACAAACTAATTTTTGCAACTGGCCTGAAATTCTGTTTCTTCAATAATGAAGATTTGAGATCCACTGACTGCTGATCAGATACAAGACATGAAAAGCAACATGCAGGCATCTTTCCATTATTCCTATCATGACATAGGTGAACATATAGATCAAAAAAAGTCTGCTCCTGCAGTACTACTGCAAACAGCCAAAATGCTAAAGAAATTCACCTTGCCACCTACAAATTCTGAAAGTTTCCTATTAGTAAGATACAAATAGTATTTCTTTCCCCTCATGCTTCCAAGTTTCCATTGTAAACAAATCAAACCTCCCCTTTATTAATACTGTCTCCACTGTAACAAACCTTACATGTTTTGAACATTCTGGCTGTAATCTTCTGGAAATTTTAATATCTAGACCATGATGACAGAGCATGTGTAATTAAAAAGTAATAATGGAATAATACATCTATCCAACATTTATCATAATAAGCATTATGGGAGAACAATAAGCCCAAATAATATTTTGGAAAAGCTAAACTTCAAAGAATGAAGATACTATAGTACGAAGTTATGGCCAAAAATATTGTATTTTTAACCAGCAACATTTTTGAGAGGCAGTAACTGTACAGTATTAGTTTTTTTTGTCAAAAACCCTATTTCTGTCCCTCAAACAACACACAATACATGCATTTAAATGACACTTTAAGAACAGCAAATATGATCTTTATTTTTAAATACTGTTTAAAAACGTATCTGACACTCCACCCTGAAGAAAAAAAGAATTGGTCAAATAAGGATTTCCTGCAGCACAGTAAATGAGAAATCCAGCAACAGACTTCATCTTAGACTATTTTGAGAGAAAAAACCCAAACCAACAGATTTACAGTAAGATTGACCTGGCTGACTTCCCATTTTTCACACTATCTTCAAAATCTCCCTCTACTCCATTCTTCCCTGCAGCATGGCTACTGTGAAAAAGCTTAAGTGAAACTTACAATAAAATCTCTTTAACTAGCTAAAAAGTGACCCTCAATGTATTGTTGACTAGAGAGAAATGTTTCTGGTTTGACTGATGAAAACTCAAACTGTTATGGGTAACCAAGAGCTAAGAAAGAGGAAATATCAGTAGCTCCTCTTAAAACTAAACATACAGTTTTGCAAGATCCCCACTAAACTCACAAACTGGACAGGGACAGGTGGATTTACATGTTTAATGCATTTTAAATTTTAGAATTTATGGTTTATGTCAGAAGAGGGACTGTATTTACAAAAGTCTGAACTTCTAAAAACCATAGTTAATTACCTACACCAGGACATTTTAATTTCCTAACTTATGATGGTCTCTCCAAAACATATTTACTCTACCGGTTTCTTAGCTAGAGGTAGGTCATTTTTAGGCCTTGTTAATATGCTGTGCACACTTCATTAGTTCACTAATCTATTAGTCTGCAGGACAACCATGCAGAGAGCTCCAAGAACAGCAGCACATATAATAAATTAATTGGCTAAGTTTGGGGTTTTTTTTTTTATGTGGGTTAACATGTCTTTATTTTCTCCTAATATTTCATTCTTCTGTGAAGGACGTGTAACAAGGAAAGGGTCATGAGGTTGAGTAATCTGAAAGTCTTCTGAACCTTACAAACAAATGCTGGGAGTCCAGCAATGTCTTCATATGCAGCCCTTTCTCCCCATTTAGAGTTTTTGCAAATCATGCAGTCAGTTCTGACTGATATCCAGCATAAAAAGTCTCTTCTCCACTTTCAAACTTTAAAAAGTGATTCACAATCATGTGGCAGTATGATTAAAAACTACAGTCCATACACCTTGACAATCAAAAGAGTATGAATTATAAAAAGTAAACTGCCCTTATAGCTGCATCATCCTATATATGCAAGGACAGTGACAGTTAATTTGTGAAAAAGGCAAGTTTAAGGTTTCTGTAAAACACGTATTACAGCTTTCTTGTGCTAGTGAACATCTAGAATACACAGGTTCCCAAGACGTTTTCCTTCTCCCCCATATGTGACATTCAAAGAAATCACGTAATTTTGGCAAAGTTAAAAGGGTTTCTGTCTTGATATTTCTGCCTTAGCTTCATATTAGAGGCACAAACTTCTGGACTCAAGCACTGTAAGGCATAGTAGAAACCACCAGTTAAAACAACAGCACCACTACTACAACTGAATACACTGCAGGTGGGAACAGCTGCGTCATTTAAAAAGGAAATGTTTTTGTAAACTGTCACACTGCAATGCTGTGTTAGGTGATTCATGTAAAGCTTGCCTATTTTTGTTTGTGTTTTTTTTTTTTCTTCCAGAACATGCTCAAATGATCTAAACATTGCTACAAGTTCGTCTTATCTAAAACATACCATAAGTAGCCCAGTGGCACACACTCTTGAAAACTTTTGCAATCACAATGTTAACTATAAAGCATGAGTAAACTTCTGTTTTTGTTTTTATACAAAACTTAGAACCGTATTTCCTTCTCCCTCACCCAATATCCCATAACAAAACAAAACAAACTAAAAATCCCCAAACCAACCCAAACTGTTGTTAGACACCACTGTCTGGGGTTTTTTTGTTTGTTTGGGTTGGGTGTTTTTTGTGTGTGTGTGTGGTGTTTGGTTTTTTTGCTACAATTCCATTTGTAGCACTAATCCCAGCATGGGCAAAGTATTCCCAAGTAAAAAGAAGGGGTATTATCAACAGTGGAACTGTGTGAACAGAAACTCTATTGCATTTATAGCAAAAATAGGACCAATTTTGTTATGTTGTATGTAAGAGTAACTGCTCTGATCCCCTATTCAGAATGTCAGTGTCACTTTTTATAACCTAGATATACCTGCTTTAGCTTTATTAAATAAAATGCTTTAACTCCTTAAAATCATTAACAATAGTGACTTTTTGGATGTTGTTGTTGCATTTAAGTTTTCTGCAGTTTCTGAAAAGACTGTTTGATTGATCTGATGTTTTGTATTTTTTCACGGTATTTTTAGGATAACAGCATACACTCGTTAGTACTTATGTACAATGATTTGAAATACCTCTAAATTTACTTTTCTAATAAAGCTGATTAGAAAAGTAAAAGTAACCTAATGTGAATCTGCCAAATATAAATTAATTTGTATTTAAAAGCTTATGCTCCAATCCTAGACGTAACAGCATAAGTTCTAGTAAGACTGGTTTCTACACCTATATAAAGCCCTGACAAGATTTAAGCATTATTCTGAATGCAAATGGCCTCTGACCGGGTGTCTCCAATTTACTTCTACTCAGGAATGTGCAAATGATTTTATACAGCACGATGCTAGTACCGCTCTGTACTATAGTAATTTTTTTTTGTTTTGTAAATAAAAAACAACAACAAATCCCTAGTCAGAAATAAACTGACAAAATTTACATTCTTCTCTCTTAAAAAAGTAAATAAAATAACATTATTTAAAATGTGAATTAGCTATAAGACATACAATACAATTACATAGATACATATCAATACAGCACATTCAATTTGCCAAAAATTAATGATTACAAAGCCAATATGGATGCTGCCATATATATATATAGATGTATGTACAATGATTATAGCATTCATAATTGCACTATACCTACAACCAGTTTTAAATTACAAGGTGTTTTAAGACGGAGCAAAAAAATAGCAACTGTTATTATTGTTGTTTTGGATTTGGGAGGATTAAGGATTAAAAAGGTTTTATTAGTATTTATTGTTCAACTTTGGTGATTAATTAATAAGCCATTCTTTTTTCCACCTCCCATCTGCTGCTATGAAGCAGCAACTTCTGTGTTAAGTGCACTCTAGTGCTACTTGGCATTGCAAATAATCAACCCAATTAATTATATGTCTGAGCTCTGAGTTTTCTATTGCTTGCTAGCAGTCATGCACCTGGTCAAAAAACACCTTTCAATATAAGCTGCAGAATAAAGGATCATCACTGTGTGCTGCATGTTTGTTGTTAAGAAAATTGCACATTTAAATTTCAAGAATGATTTTGTTGCATTTACATTAATAAATCTTTTCTAAAGAATGTTGAGAGGCTATTTTGCATGAAAGCCTATCAGATGTCTGTAAATCAGTTAGTCAACACACAACCTTATCAAGAAAGGTTCTCATCAATGATTTCTTGTTATACAACTAAAGGTGCCTTGATATTATTACAGAAAACAAACTCATGCCATATCTGACATAAGCACTTGAACTGTCTTTAAATTAGTAGACCACATGCATGTGCATGGTGCACCTTGTAGCATATTCACTCATACTGTTGGTTTTGGCATTAGAAAATAGAACAATTTCTAAAAAAGGGAACATGAGAGCTGAAACTGTTTGTTTATCATTTGGCAGTTGACTCAATCAGGTCAGTTCCCAACCCATCAGTTTGGCATTTCAATCTGTATCTTATGTTTCAAGAGTACTGTTTTTATAAAAAGCCAGATTTGGCAACATTAATCTTATACAATAAAAATAATTCTTCTATTGTGGAAAAAGAACACTTAAAAAAGCTCTAACTTATGGAAAAAAACCCACACAACTGAAAAAAAAACCAAAAACAAAAACAAACCACCCCACTGTTTCAGGCTGTAGCCACTGGGGAAGATGTAGTGTCTATGACATTTCTATTTGGCATTTGTGAATCAAAGAAGAAAAAGAAATGGCACATGGCAAATAAAAAGAGATTCTAACATACTCCACATATACATCCCAGGTGGTGTCTTAATTCATTACTGTCTTCTGTGCACCTTAATGAACTGTGAAAAATATGGTTAAATTTAGTATCTTAAACAACTGTAATGCCATTTCGCAATCCAAATATTCTAGTGTCAAAAGTGAAGACAGAATTAAGACACCCGTGTCAAGAACTTAAAAATCACAGTATCAATACTTTTAATCCTTCAGAGAAAGTACATACTATAAAATTAGAATGACTGATGATTTGAATTCGTATGATAGTATTTTCCTGACCAAATCACTCAACAGAAAATGTTTCACCCAGGAATGCAGGGGAAAAAAAAAAAAAAAAAGGGCCATTGTACCTTGTAAAAGATAAGGAGAGGAAGGAGGGAGAGAGAAAGGGTGAGGAAAAGAGGAAACCAGCTTGATTTTGCTTCAACAGCAAAACCTGCTAATCTTCATAATGTACGACTGAGAATTTAAAACACATTGAGTCACAAGGTTTTGCCTAAAAAAATGAGGAATGTGCTGTGAATGTACTTCAGCATCTTTTGTTTTTCCTCCATATAGTTTAAATAAAATCATAATATTAATTACAAACTCTGTGGACATTCACAGAGTCCAGGCCGGCAATAAATTAGTATTATGCAAATTGTTTTCACAGATAATACAGTCCCTCTTGTATATCTTCAATCACACAAATGTAGTTTTGGAGGGTCTCCTAGACACAGTAGACACAGTTAGACCAGGTTGTACTCCTTCAGGTTTAACTGTAGGATTGTGTCCTTGACAGCAGCAAAGACGAAGCGGATGTTCTCTGTGTCTGTAGCGCATGTGAAGTGGGAGTAGATAATTTTGTCACTGTCTGGATTCAGGTCTACAAACATCTTCAGGATGAACTCTCGTGCCGCTTGTGCATCCCGTTGTGGTCCTGATAAATAGGAAGAGGAAGTCAGTTTTCTTAAAGCCAATTCAGTACTTGAACTTCTTTTAACAGAAAACAAGAAAGGCTCAGTCTGTAGTCCTTATGTAAGAGGTGTAATCAATAGCATCATACACTGGCTACTTTCTTTCTGCTAGGAACTATGAAAAATAAAGATGGAAGGAAATTCCATAAATTCTATCAAGTTAGAGCTATCATGCCAAAGCTGCTCTTTAGCTGATGACTATCCTCCTTCTTTGGTAAGATAATGTTTAAAACAGGGAACTTAGAACTGCACAGAATGAAAACAGAGAAATGAGCTACACTAGTAAATCTTTAAAGAAAATGTTAAGATAATTGGTGAATGTTCAGTCTACATGTACTGTATTTAAATTATACTTCATTTATTTTAGTATGGTAACTTTTGCTAGTTTTGTAAGTATTTTAATAGGTAGTGTAATGAAGTTAGATCCTGAACTAGACTGACATTGTTACCAACAGAACTTCATTTACTTTAGTGATAATAAAATACACATACTCTCCAGCTGAAGCTGTTTGATTGCAAAAGGCTCATGTTCTAACAAATCACTTGTTATCTAAATTATGTATGATAATGATTCTATCAGATCTAAATTAAGGTTGTAATTCCCAGATGGACAGAGCTAAACCACATGTTCAGCTTTACAGAAGAGAGAAGGTAAAGTAATGACTTCCAGGCTGGAATAGTGAGGATTCATTTACATTCACAGCCAAAAGAGCAGTGCAGAAGCACGAACACAAGCCACATGCTGTTGAATTCTGTTCCATTATTCCAACCTACCTCCGGAGGCCATTACTGCCTTGCTCTCCTGTTTCTGGAATTTGCATTTCTACAGAACATGCATGTTTTCTGTGTTGCTTCCTCCTGTTCTCTTCCTTAGTCCTGTCATTACATGGTGATATAAATACCAGCACTCAGCTGCTGTATGTAGCTCTGTCCTTCAGTACTTACAAAATCTGTACTCTGGGGGTTAGCACATGCCCGCATATTTTTCAGCTGGATGATAACCTTCCAATTTGGATAACTATAAAATTTATGTAGGGAATGCATGGAAGAGAAATCATGTACTTTCTGGTGTGCTGCAAATCCGTATCGAGGGGGAATAAGATTCTGCAATATATGGGTGTGTGCACATGAACACATACACAAATGTATGTACATGCATACATACAGACAACATATTTCCTGAGATTTGGGAATGTAAACAGATCATAAGCTCTCTAGAAGACTGTTCAATGCTTCTACAGCTTCTAACACACAATAGACTCTAGCCTTTGGCTTGGTCACCCAGGCTCTACAGAAACAGCAGCAATGATAAGTCTCACACTACCATGAGTAAATTTGCAGTATTCCGTGAAGGAAACTCTAAGACTTTCAAAGACACTGATTTCTTCAAAGTAAACCACTATTTTAAACAACCTCCTAGAATTTTCAGTTTCATAGTAGCTAGACAGAGCCCTCAAAACCTACTGCACTATTCAAAGACTATATCCAAACTTATTTATCTAATCAGATCTCTACTGACTATCATGTAATTTAAATTTTTGTTTGCCTGAAGTTCAAGAATGGAAAATTGAGGTTTGAAAGAACATTTAATACCTCAGGAATTCAGAAAAAATTGAAAGAGTCAATGTTAAATTTAGACTGCAAAGAGGTGCAATAAAAGGGTGCAAAGAGTGGTACTGTTTTTTCTGAGTGCCACAAGGAGTGCATTTCTTTTTCTTTTTAGCTTTTGTACTTCAATCTAAACCTTCACCCCAATTTATAAAATGAAATCCTAGCAGTCTACAAAATCCCACAAGAATTCAATCACATTTAAAAAAATTACATTATTAAAAATTGCAAAGCACCTTTTTTTTTTAAGTGCAAAATTTATCAAATTATCTATGTGTCTAGCATTTGGACAAGGCTATTATGATTTCTCATTACTGCAGTGTAAATAGGGCATGAGCTCTGATGTCTTTATACTTACCATCATACTCTGGAAAATAATCAACTAGGTGCGAGTACATAATTTTCTCCTCTAAGAGATCTTTTTTATTTAAGAACAGAATGACTGAAGAGTTTTGGAACCATGGATATGTTATAATTGTCCTAAAGAGTGCTTTGCTTTCTTCCATTCGATTCTGGAATAGAAAAGAGAGTGAAATTTTGGTGGGCATGAAAATACTTTTTTTAAAAAATAAATCAGTGCAATTTCACTTTATTTGGTAAATTTATCCACACCATGTTTTGCATCTTCCTACCAGTACGTAAGGTTTGAGTAATTAAATTACAATTAAAAGGCAAGAAGTTAATTAAATATGCAGGCATATTTTTGCGAATTCAACTGCTCAAGCGTAAGTGTTAACTTTAAAGCACAGGCCATGTACATGAAAGCTCTAACAGGTGTGTTTGTAAAGTCTCAGTATGGACAGTTATGACCAGATCAACTTTAAAATAGCTGCAAGTAAATTTGAAACCTGAGAATTTTTCATCTACAGCAAAGACTTGTGACACAAAATCTTAAAATCTGTGAATTGCTAAATTTTTTTATATGATTGGGTTAGCCTTTAATTACTTAACTGCTCCTGAAAATACTACGCGTTTTAGCTGAAATGTTAAGTGAAGCTACAGTTCCATTTGCAACACTTTTTTGTCATCGTAAAATTAAGTTACAATTTGGTAATATGCTGACATGATGTGGTTAATTCAGAGAACAAACCGAGTTCAAAACAAAGGAATTACCTTACTCTTTTTATTATTATTATTGAATGCTGCAGGCCCCTGAAAAATACTGCTTCACCACCAAGCTGTGATCCAGGGAACAGCAAGGAGGTGAACCATAGAATTGTAGATAATTGTCTGAATTTGTCAGGTAACTGTAAGTGTATCTTTACTTGCACTGATTTACATTTTAAAGAGACCAACATAAACATGTACAGGAACGTCAAACCAAACCAACAACAAAATAAACCCCCACACCCCAAAATAACAACCCCCAAAGAAACCAACAAACGTAAACCAACCACCAACGAAAGACTCAAAAAACAAACTCTAAAAAAATTCTGTTTTGTAGAAGAGGATTGTTTGGTCTCTTATGTCACCACAAAATCTTCAAGCATTTTGTTAAACCTTAGTTCATGCTGGTGTCCAAATGGGACACCATGTCAGGTGTCTAAATATATATTGATAGATTTGAGAAAGTAATGCAAAGCAGTAAAACCTTTGCTTTCTTGCACTAATAACTCACATTGATTTCAATGGTGCCAGGATTTCATTCAGAAAAGAGAAAAATTGAAATGTCAAGAAAGCTGAGCATAAAACTTAAGTCCTGAGACTAATTCTTAATCACACTATTTTCTTCTCAACAGTCTAGATAAACTTTTTTCCTCTAAACAAGGCCTTACAGAACAGCAATGGGAACTACACAGGATAGCTTTCACTTTCACAGCTTGATGAAAAAGAGAAGGCAATGTAAACTTACAAAATACAGTTTATAAATATTTATCTAAACTAATTAACACTTGGTTTCTTCTAATGTGACACTTATAAGGTAAAAAAGCAATAGCAGCATTCTTTCACAGTAAATTTACAAGCTAATGAAAACCTCTCAGTAAGAAAAGTGCACACCAAACAAAGAAATTATTTATCTAAAGCAAGTGTTTCTGTTTTTCACAAAAATCCTTCAATACAACCGCCCTATTTTCATCTATAATGCTGTTGGGTTGGGGCTTTTTTCCATATACGTAACACAGAATTGCAAAGACAAAATAAATAAATCTATTTGAACACATTTATGACTTTTCCTCTAAGAAAGCTCAAGAAAATTGTGATCCCAAACATTGTTACTAGACCCAGAATACATTTTCATTTCCTGTTTTAAAGGTATACCAACAAGATGAAGCAGAAAAGGCGTGCAGATAAAAGCTACGCTGATACCATGCTTAAAATCTGTCATCTCATCAGCTAAAAATTTAAAATTAAATGCTGCATATCATAAAAATACCAAGAGACCTACAAAATAAAGAAAAAAAATGTCTTCAATGTAAGAAGAGTATGTCTTGCATTATATATTAATGATGAATTCTGTATAATATGAACTGCATTCCAGAGAGTCACTTTTTTACAAATTTATAAATGTCTCTCCTTGATGACAGATCTCCTAAGGATTCCACTCAGACAGATCAGAGATGAAGCAGGTTTTCATGACTTAAAAGAATAGTTCAAGTAATTAAAAAACAATCTGGGATGCTGAAAAAAGGATACTGTTAAGACGGCAGCGTAAAAGAGCAGAAAAAAAAATTTGTATCAAAAGAAATAATTACAACCTTCAGGAATTTTCAGAAATGGTCAATATACACAGTCTAACGTAACTGATAGAAACTCAACTGCTTGGAAAAAAATACATAGTTCGGGATGCTGGTAACTGAAGTCAATAAAACGCTACCAGATTATTTCACCCTCATTCACTTCACTGTATTCTTTAGTATAATTGAAGTGTAATTTCATACAAAAGCCACTTGCCTCCAAGTGTCATCCAGCTAACTGTATTTCCAGAAAGACCCGGGCTAAATCTGAATCTATTCCTGATTCTGAGAGAATAGGCTTTGAAGAGGCAACAGCAGTAGACTGTTGCCCTTGCTGATTTTGTATTAAATTAGCCAGTCATAAACAAAATAATCTGGAATTCAGAGACTTGTGTGAAATTATAAAAAATGAACATTGTATTGCCAGAGCCCACTGAAGTAGAATTATTTCTTAGGGTACAAGGATCTTGCCCTGTATTGTCATATCAGATGAGGCTATCAGGAAAGCAAGATGGTAAGGTCTGTGCACCAAATGGTAGCTCTGAGGAACACTATTTTAGCACAGGGATTATCTCAGAGTGGAACTACTACAGAACGACCCTTATGCACCTCCATTTGAGGAATGAAGCAAACAGCAGGGATTTAGACATCAAGAAGGCCGCAGACACATTTTCTAAGGAGCTGGCAAAGGATGGCAAGCTGTCTAAATCAGTTAAGTAAAAGGTCACTCTCCTTAAGATCCATAATTGAAAGGTCTATGAATTTTCATGATCCTTCTCAAGGAAAAAAATACAGAATGCTATGTTCTGTCCTTGTAACAGAAGCATGGAAAAAAGACTTAGGATATCACTGTTTACCTCCTCTGAGCATACGTCACATTGCAATGCTCCACAGACAAATATACCTTCAGAGAAGACATAAGTAGTAAGATGGTACTGCCAGAATTTTAAAAGATCAGATCAGTTAATTCAAGGGATTCAATACAAATGTCATACAATTTGTATATTTAACAAGTGTCTTGCAAATCTTCATAAAGATATTAATCAAGAACTTGACACCTGCCTTTAACAGGATGCACTGCTTATCATAGAAAAAGTTCAGCATTGGGGATCTGACCTTCTGTCAGATGCAATGTGAGGAAGGCCTTGCCAAACCAAGCAAGACACGCGGCTCTTTGAAAAGAGGACAAGAACAGTGGGGAGCAGGCAGTATTCAACATTTTGTTCAAGCACTTGATCTGATTTTATGAGCCAGCTCTACTTCACCAAATTGCTTCCAGGAAAACCTTACTTAAACTTCAATGGAAAAGGCTGCAGAAAGAAACTTGTGAATTACTAATGTACAGAAATGTACAGCTGGAGCTGGCTGAAGGCTCTCTCAAGTAGCTGACAGCCATTCTCAGAAGCGATGCCAACCTTCTCAGCAACTCCCTTCTGACAGCAGCAACAAGCTCACCATGGCACCCTGGCTTATCAGGCAGCTGGCACATGGAAAATGAGCACAGGATCATTGTTTTCACCATCCCTCAAAATCTGCTCGCCTCAGAAACTTCCCTGCTCTGCTTGTCTGCAGTCAGTCCTAAATTGCATACTGGTGTTGCCAGCCATTACTCCATTTTCCTCCTTATGACATAAAGACGTCAGCGTAAAATTCTCCCATCCTCCACACAACCCGACACAAATATAACTATAGACACAAACCCCACCTTTTATCACATTTTATATCCAAATGCAAACTCCTCCTCTTCCTTATTTAAAAAAGGGTATACTTCTACCTTTTTTTTTCCCCTTTTTAATCCCATACTTCCAGTTTTCATGTTAAAATTATGGATTTCAAGTTTGAATTTAGGTATTGAAATTCTCTTTGCTATCTGTTGCTCTGAAAAAAATACGCGATTACTCCCACAATTAAAGAAATAATTTGTAAGTGTGTGACGTTAAGTTGACAAATTCTGAAAAATACCTGAAAAACCATAAAATAGCATTTAAAAGCTACATCAGTTGGTACTCAGTGAAGGGAAAGCTAACACAGTGCTTTAACAGAAAAGACCAAATACAATATTAATCTGAAAAATACAGAAGTAGTAGTGGAGTTTCACCCATTATTGTCTTTATGATTGTCTAGAGTGGCATCTAGCGGGCATATTATAATTTACATATCAAATGAAAAATGTAGTAATTAATTTTTGTCTTACAACTTGTTAGTAATTTAAATAGTGTCTGTTAACTATACTGGGATTTCACAGACTTTGAGGGGCTGAATTTTAAAATTATGTGAGTGAAGAAAGTGAGGAGGCAAACGAAAGGCAATTTTTAGTCAACAATTTGCACTGTGTGTATAACTACATTTATGCTGTTAACAAATGTTTATTTGACTGAGAGGGCTTTCAGAGATGATAATTCTAGAAAAGGAGATACTGATGCAAAAAGCTTTAGAAAAAAAAGAAGAGGTTAATACTTCTGAAGTTGTTTAGTATCACAGTAATGGACTCTACTACTTTACCTGACAAAATCTTGTGCATGTGAATGGTTTTTGTGCAAAAGGCTGATTAATTAGGAATGTCTCAGTTCTCCAAATAAGACTTCCATCAATTATTTAAGTAGGAGCAGTGTAGCTGCACAGAAAGATCTACAGTGTATTCCTTGGCTAAAAATTTAACAGAGCTGCTACATGAAAGCTGGGAAATAACAGAGGAAATCAGGAAGTAGGAGGCAAGTACAGAGTCCTCCAGTATGTGAAAAAGTAGCTACAGTAACAAACTTGGAAAGGCTTCAGATTTTTGCCACTGGTACAAAGTATAATCTTACAGCTACAGTGCTGTAACTAGCTATCTAAGAAAAAATCTGTAATGGTTGTACAAGTATTTTGATGAGTAACTCAAATGCAGTGAGAGACAACTTCAAACACAGAACTCAGGAATAATCCATCAAAGCAACATGTTCAACAACCACCAACGCACAAAATTACTGTCCAATAAAAGTGGCCCAAAAAGTCACTCCAAAAAACATGGTCAAACACTGCTACAAAATATTCTTTTTATATATATATTTAAAAGGGCTGTTTTCATGAAATAACATGACTGCCACAATAATCAGTTTTTAACTAGTATCTTCAGATTATTAAAAAAAAAAAAAAAAAAGTGGAAACAATTTTAAAATTAAATGGAATTTTTTTTTTGGGCACTTTTTGAACCTTATTTAGGGGGGAAAAAAAAAAAAAAAAGAAAATAGAAGCAGTTATCTTTGCCAGCAATTGCTGCCAATAGCAACATTTACCAGCAGTGTTTCTGGCAGCCTCTGCAACCATGTTCACAATTATTCAACCTCCCATTTCCATTATAAACTACCCACTTACACAAAAGACAGAGGCTCTGACTCTTCCTTATGCAAGTACTTCCCAGTACTGATACTTTACATTCAAAAGGTTTATTATCCACAAACCAAAAAGGAAATACATACGCATATATGTGTGAACAGGTATGAGCAGATACAATACATACAGCAACAAGGTTTGGCATAGGTGGTTAATGTGTTATTTTCTATAGTTTTGAAATAAACAGTGAGTTCTGGAGATTTTATTCCCATGGAAATAACATTGTTAAATAATTCTGAAGACCACTTGAGGACTTTAATTCTATCTGAGAGTTCACACTATGCCGCTGACCTATGCTCAATTGTTCTGGATTGATGAATGTTGATGAAAAAACCAGACAACTAAAGTATTACGTTTATTCATGATGCATAAAAAGAGAAGTGCTCTGATCTCAACATTGTTTTCTTTCAGCCCTCATGCTAAGCCATACAGGACTAGGCTGTGAATAAGGAACACAAAGTGCTGGAAGAGAAGTGGAAGCATGCCCAGATGTGAACAGCCAGATAGTTCCAACGAAAAAATGGAATACATACTTGAGATAATTGCCTCCACAAAGACTCAAAGTATACTGAACTTTGTGGGCTCATGCCATTTCTTATTTTTGTCCAACATCAAAAGAACGTGTGATTGGAACACTGTACCAGTTTGTCACCCATTAACAGACTGTACTGATGAATGGTACAGAAGTTCCATCTATCTATTCTGCAGATGCATTTTATCCAGATTCAAAACATGAGTATGTATGTCTACATTAATTAACCTGCACACACACACGAATGCAAACACGGTAAAAATACCTATCCTAGGTTTCATTTGACTATTTTAATGTATTTTTAAATACATTATTCTTTTAATAATTTTTAAAAAACCAAGCAGCATTGATCCTTTCTACTTGGAACAACCTAAGAATATAAAAAAATTTCCAGCAAGTAAAAGAACTGACATCCCTGCACAATGTCTTTATACACTGCTTGAAGCACAGAAACATCACAGAAAACCACCCTACAAAGTTCCTTCAGTTTCAATTTGCAGTTATAGCTGAGGTACTGAGCCATAATTTTCTAAACAGCCTGTTTTGACTTCATGCAAGTGTTATGATAAAATCACAAGACAGTTCTTCAGTGTAAATTAAGTACTGTGAAAGAAACTACATTAATTCCAATATCCACCATCAAACAAAGCTTATGATATGACCACAAAGACGTTCCCCAAAGAAACAAGCAAAAAAATTTCCTTTCATTTGTCAAACAATTATTCTTCTACTTAGAGAAGAATTTATTGTGGAAAGGACGTGTGGAAGTCATCTGGTCCAACTCCCTGCTCCCAGCAGCACTAACTCTGTCATTAGATCAAGTTGCTCATGGTCGTGTCTAGTCAAGCTTTGTACATCTCTCCCTGGGATGGAGATCCTATCCCTCTAAGCAACCAATTCTACTTCACTCATATGTAGATACCATCTTTCAGCCCTTATGATTTATGAACACCAAGCTAAACATGATTTTACTGAGGGGCACTGTTTTTATGGACCATTAAGTCACTAGAGAGTTTTAATGATTCCTTGGTGGTAATGTCTTGGACAAGCATTTGTTTAAGAACAACTTTCTTCCCAGATTATTTAGCTCTACACCACTTCCAAAAGGGACTCCACCAGTCACATGTCCCTTCTACCTTCTCTCTTGAGCTCTCTTGTTCCACTTGTCTGACAACCCCCTGAATTCCTGCAAGGTTTGTGCAATGGCTTTCAGAACCATTGCTTGAATCACTTCCAGATCTACTGGTTCTGTTCACATCTCAAAATAAAAATGTTATGTTTTCCTAGTGCCATGCAAACATCTGCTACTGGCAAATGAACCTGCTACTCTACATTTCAGAAACCTAGAAGACTTAATGGGGATCACAGCTGCACTTTATTCCTAAGTAACAGCCACTACTTTGAAAGTTTATAAACACAGGATAAATCTGTAAGACAATGGATGCTGAACACAGAATGAGAGCGTCAAGTCAAAACAGCAGGATTCTAAACAGTGCAAGCAATAGTCTTCACACAACTCTGGCTGCTACACCACTGCATATTACAAAGCAGCAACGGAGCAGGTTTAGACAAGCCTGCGTGGAACTCTTTCTGTTCAGAATGAGAGTGGTGACACATGCAGAAGTATTTGAATATTTTAAAAATGACTGGTTAAGACTGGCACAAAAAAACTAAACCTGGTTATCATATCAGGTTAGATGGCACAGGTCTTAAAGAAGACCAAGGGTTACATGTTACACTTCCTTAAGTGAAAGCTAGTGGACTGATGCACACAAGGCAAAAGCAAGAAGCTAGGAAAATGATCTTCATGACAATTTCTGTGGATATCCATTCAGTAATATTGTTGTCAAGATCACAGAAAAAAACATTTTCAGAAAGAACTGCAATCTGGGATCAAACCAGTAAATACATGAATTATGAGGAAGGGAATAAATCAGTGCTCTGGAATACCGACAAAATCCAGATAGACTGGCTACAGCTTGCTGAAAGCTGAAACTAAGCTGCCCAGATGAGTGCTTAGCTCTGAGACAATTCGGATCCATTCCAGAGCTAGCCTAAGGCTGCTGGAAAGTGCTACTAGGGTACGTGCGTATGACCCAAAACCAAGAACTGGTCTGAATTAAAGTTATGAATATATTTTAAACTGAAGGTTCAAAAAGGTTCATAAGTTTTCCACTGTTAATGTTAATTAGAAACATTAATAGTTTAGCAGTGAGGTGGAAGAACCATCTGCAAGACAACGAGGAGTTTTACAACTTTTGCCTCCATGAAGTGTTTCAGAACTGAAATCTTGAAAACAGAGAGAACAACACGTATGCAGCCATAAAGAATATTCAAATGTTACGAAGTGTTTCAGAACTGAAATCTTGAAAACAGAGAGAACAACATGTATGCAGCCATAAAGAATATTCAAATGTTTTCTTTTTTTCAACTGGTTTTTATAAGTATGTGTTAAGAGACATGCATAGGACGGTGCCAGTAAGTAATTCATGGAAGTTTGGTGAGTAACTTACAATATCCCTCAGGAAAGACAAAAAATATGAATATTAAATAATTTCCCTACTCTAAACTGCCTTCACAATATTGAATACAAGTGCGCCTTCCCCCTCAGCTCACTTTCTTACCTCTGTTAATTTTGAAATAAAAATACAATATACATCCTATGATTTAAGTGTAAGGAATGAAGTTTACTGCTTTAGGATCCATTCTAGCATAGAATTATGAAACAGTTGGGGTTGGAAAGGACCTTAAGATCGTCTAGTTCCAACCCCTCTTACCATGGGACACCTCACACTAGACCATGTCACCCAAGGTTCTGTCTAACCTGGCCTTGAACACTGCCAGGGATGAAGCATTTACCCCTTTCTTTGGGCAACCTGTTCCAGTGCTTTGCCACCCTCACTGTAAAGAACTTTTTCCTTAAATCTAATCTAAACTTCCCCTGTTTAAGTTTAAACCCATTACCCCTTGTCCTACCACTACAGTCCCTGATGAAGAGTCCCTCCCCAGCATCCTCGTAGGCCCCCTTCAGATACTGGAAGGCTGCTCTGAGGTCTCCACACAGCCTTCTCTTCTCTAAGCTCAACAGCCTCAGCTTTCTCAGCCTGTCTTCATAAGGGAGGTGCTCCAGCCCCGTTATCGTCCTCGTGGCCCTCCTCTGGACTTGCTCCAGCAGCTCCAATGCCCTTTTTATGTTGAGGGCACCAGACCTGTACACAGTACTCCAAGTGGGGCCTCATGAGAGCAGAGTAGAGGGGCAGGACCACCTCCTTCAACCTGCTGGTCATGCTTCTTTTGATGCAGCCCAGGCTACGGTTGATTTCTGGGCAGCAAGCGCACACTGAAGCCAGCTCATGTTGAGCTTCTCATCAAGCAACACCCCCAAGTCCTTCTCTGCAGGGCTGCTCTGAATCTCTTCTCCTCCCAGCCTGTAGCTGTGCCTGAGGTTGTGCCAACCCAGGCGTAGGACCTTGGACTTGTCTTGGTTAAACTTCATAAGGTTGGCACTGGCCCACCTCACAAGCATGTCCAGGATGCCACCCTCTGGATGGCATCCCTTCCCTCCAGCCTATCAACTGAACAGCTTGGTGTTGTCGGCAAACTTGCTGAGGGCAAGGAATCTGTAAATTTCCACTGCCTATTTTTGTGGCTTTGCTACATAGCTACACTAAGAATATTTCTCTATATTCAGCTGTATTCCCCTTCTACACTAAAGAGATAGGTGTTTCTGAATCCTGTGGTGGAGCTGATCAGCTCTGCCATATTTGAAGACTGATCCTCTCCTCCCCATTTGATCCCTGTAGTGCTCCTCACACCATTCGGTGCAGTCATGCATGACTGCTGGTAGACATATTTGGAAAACACCCGGGACGAGACAAGTGAAGTTATTTTTCATTAAAACTGGTGCTTTTTGCTGATGCTTGCTTACCTCATTATCTGACTCCACAAGCACTTGATCATATTCACTAAGCGCTACTAGGAACATGATAGATGTGACGTTTTCAAAGCAATGTATCCATTTTCTTCTTTCTGATCGTTGGCCTCCTACATCCACCATTCTGCAAAATTAACATTCATATCAACGCCATGAATACCTTAACAGATAAACACACAAGCACACACGGTGACAAAATTCAAGAATTTAGCTGAAAACAAAGTTTGGTTTGTTTTTCTTAATGTCTTTTTTATTGATAGTGGAATCTGTTCTAGGTAGACAGTTTGCTGAAGAAGAATATATTGCTTTGAAGTCTGAGGTGTTTTCTGTATTTAGATTATTGTGGGTCTCAAAACCCTCAGACTTCTGAGACACAAAGGTTTCACGAGCCATGATTTGGCAGTGTATGCCCTGTGTATTCAGCAAAAACATATGTGAACAGAATAGACTCAGTGGCCTGCCTTTTCCCCACCAAATTACCAGAGTAAAACTTCCCAACTTGTTAAAGCTGCCCATTTTAAGAGGACAAACAAAATACAACATGTACTTACTAAAATTTTTAATAGACCAAATTAAAACTCAAATTGCTCACACTGTATTCCCACCCGACCCTGTATCTCAGTGTAACTAAACACAGGTGTCTAACTTGCAATTGCAACTCCATAGTTTTTTTCAAACAACTGTACTTGCACTCAAGCAGGGTTATTTATCTGTAAAGAAGAACAATTTCTCTCTAAAAATCAGCTACACAAGTGGAAGCGTTATATTCCACAATTTACATGAAATAAGAGGATACGTGACTGTATTTTCATATTATTATTCACAGTCAAACTTTGGTACCTACTACTGAAAAGATGAATTGCAAGTTTTCAGAAGACAAACCTGATTGTCTTTCATCCTTTTGACATCTTTAGCATCAACTCTTTGTTAAATGTGAACAATTACATGAAAAAATAATGACAAAGCTCAAATTTTAAAAACACAGGCTAATTTCTTTTTATGCACTTTTAACCAATATCCTATATATGGTATTACTAATGTAAAAGGAAACAGAATAAACTACCTGAAAATGACGCTTTGTAAGTCGAATGGATATTCAATGATCCCTGTTGTTGGGACTCGAACGCGGAGCACATCTTGCTGAGTTGGCAGGTAGGTGGAATCTGCTATGCGGTCCAAGTCATTAAGATAGCTACAGACAGGGAGAAACAGAAGGAATGCAAGACAGTGACACCATCATCCGACTGAGGAAAAGAGAAAGGAAAACTTGGGAAGGGAAATGGGCTGTGGGGTAGGAAGAAGTGCAACAGAAAAAAGAGTATTATCGGCATAAAAGAGGGGACAAAGTATAAAAATGTGCTCCATCCCCCCCTTCCTGTACACTCCCATAGCTTCAATTAAATTATATATAAGGGTAGCGCATTATTATGTTTTATTTTTGTCCTGGGTTCAGCTACAGCAGTCATTTTTTCTCCTTCTTAGTAGCTGGTGCAGTGCTGTGTTTTTGACTTTCAGTCTGGGAACAATGCTGATAACACCGATGTTTTTAGTTGTTGCTCAGTAATGTTTACTCTGACCAAGGACTTTCTCAGTCTCATGCTTTGCCAGAGAGGAGGGGGAGCCAGGAGGAAGCAGAGGCAGGACACCTGACCCAAACTGGCTAAAGGGGTATTCCATACCACAGCACGTCATGCCCAGTATAGAAACTGGGGGGAGTTACCCGGAAGGCCCAGATCGCTGCTCAGGTCGGGCTGGGTATCGGTCGGCGGGTGGTGAGCGGTTGTGTCCTCTCCCCTTGTTATTCCTCTTATCATTATTATTGGTAGCAGTAGTGGTTTGTATTATACCTTAGTTACTGGAGAGCTGTTATCTCAACCCGTGGGAGTTACATTCCTTCGATTCTCCTCCCAATCCCTCCGGGAGCGGGGGGAGGAAGGAAAAGGGGGGGAGTGAGCGAGCGGCTGCGTGGTTCCAAGTTGCCGGCTGGGCTTAGACCACGACAATTTTCAAACAACTCTGAAAATAGCTTTAACATGTATATTCACCAAAGATTCAAAGTCTTCAATTATATAATTCTAAGCAATGTAGAGACAAAGAATATTATAATATGTGTGAGAAATATAAAATTGCAGTTTTATCTGAATATGCAACATACTTCTTATTCATTCTGCGCTGCCTACACAGATACATGGAGAGACAACCATGAATCTCCCAAAGAACAGTGAACTGCTATAGATCAGATCTCTGGCATCTTGAAGTCCTGCATTCACACTCAAACTTCTGATTAAGTTAATAAGGCATGAAATACATGCCAGTTGGTAAGAAACCCCAAAATGCTTAAAATTGCTTGTAATTTTTCATTAACTACAACACAAAAATCTTCTGCTACTGCTTAATGATGGATTTCAATCATAAAGCAACAGAGTACGGCAGGTTTTAATTAATTCTCATAAAAGAGATGCTTCAAAAATTAAGTGTACCAATGTGTGTTATAGCCTGTTTGGGTCCAGGAGATGGACAAGTAGGGCTTGTTCAGTCTGGAGAAGATAAGGCTCAGGGGAGACCTTGTAGCAATCTTCCAGTACCTACAGAGAGCCTGTAAGAAATCTGCAGAGGGATTTTTACAAGGGCTTGTAGTGACAGGACAAGGGGAATGGTTTTAAACTGAAAGAGAGAGATTTAGATTAGACATTAGGAAGAAACTCTTCACTATGAGGGTGGGTGAGACACTGGAACAGGTTGTTCAGAGAAGCTGTGGCTGCCCCATCTCTGGCAGTGTTCAAAGCCAGGTTGGATGGGGCTTGGAGCACCCTGGTCTAGTGGAAGGTGTTCCTGCCCATGGCAGGGGGGTTGGAACTAGATGATCTGTAAGGTTCCTTCCAACCCCAGCTGTCCTGTGGTTCTATGATATCTCATAAAATTAGTGCACCAGGAAGCTTGGGCTCTCCCCATGGTAGATGTCTGAGAGAGACTGCTGCGGAACATGAAGTTCTTGGGCATTTAGTTACTTCCCAGCCCAAGAATGTCCTACAGTTAGCCACTGAGAAGATAATTAACCTACAGATAACCGTTTACACAACCATTTTGTTGCATTCCTTTGGCAAGCTTCATTTTTGTTCTCCAATGTGAGCCTGGTGACTGTACTTCTGCACAGCGGACATGTTGCTAAGATATCTGTAATGCACGTCTGACTGATTTCAGAAAGGCAATAAAACAAAGGGACAACAGCACACAGTTAAATCTCACTTGAGTTACTGGAAACCATTAAATGGGCAGATGGGTATTTTTTTGTCCTAACACAAAATCATTGATGTCATTAAGTTCCAGATGCACTAATTTATCCTTAAAAATACTTATCTATTCCTCATCCTCATTCAGTTCTGCTCAAGTTAGCTCATTCAATTACTGAACAGCAACCTTCCCCCTCATTTCATAGTTTGCATTTTACACAGCCTATACATCCATAGAAGACTCCTTGTGCATCCTGGTGGAGTTTTTTTAGATTTCTTCACTTAGAAATCAAAGAATGTTGGGCTAAGAATTAATGTCCTAAATTATACACTCAAAGCCAAAATCAAGAAAGCAGTATCAAAACCACTAATAGTACCTTACAGAAAAAAATCACCAAACCAAACCAAAATCAGATAGCACGCAGGAAATCCTTTAAAGGATCATATGACAAACCATAACCAGAATCTACAGCCCAACAAAAGCAATTTAGAATAATCCTGCATTTTTTATTTTCAGATAATGACATTTAGCCCCTACTGCTTTCCCTTCTAACTTAAAAACTTAATAAAAAAAATCACTATTCATTTATATAAATAAAAATGTCCCAGTTCTTTGTTGTGCAACCTTACTTTTAAATCTTTCATGATTGCTATTTTCATGCTGTGAGCATAGAGCAGACAATGAAATTCTTTTTAAGTAGAAAAAAAAATTTCTTTTAAGTTTTGATTTGTTGTGGTTTGGTTGTTTTTTTTTTTTTTTTTTGTTTGGTTTTTTAAGCAAAGACATTTCTGTTGAAAATTACTTGTGCTGAAATTCAGATTTTAATGAAGTTTGTGCATTGCTGCTCTGAAGCAAAAGAGTACATATTTTCTGCTACTGACTTTAACAGTTCTGCAGATCAGATACACTGTCTGTTACTGTATGAGGATATGTAACTTCACATTCTGCTATCAACTTCAGTGGGATTAAACATGTTTCTGAAAATCAGACTGAAGGCTTTGCCTGCATCAGCAACACAAAGCCCTTCAAGATACTCTAAAATCACCAAAAATGCTAACACATTTCTATTAAAATCATTCAGAATAGTGAAGAAAGACTATTGAAATTGCTCAAATTAATCTAGTTTATTACATGGATACAGCCTGGGGTGTGGGAAGTCCACAAGCTCCCACAGGAAAGCAGGGTGGAGTTACTTCCTCCACTGAGTTATATGCAAGCAGATAAGAGAACTTTATGAAGAGAACTTTATGAAGGAGGGCTGTGTGCAATGTCTCGAGTCTTTGAATTCAGATGGGTGAGGAGTGAATGAAAATGAAGATTTTCACTGATTTTTCCAAACATCTGACTATAAAAATTCATTCACCATGGCTTTAAAGCAAGTACTGACAAACATATCACTTGCCTGGGCAAGTAAGTTCTGTGCATGTGCAAAAAATGTAAAGATAAGCACTAGGTACTTCAGGCTCAGTGCCTAACTCAAAATGTATGCACAAATACTGCAATGTCACTGAATTTTCAGTGCATACTAGAAATGGCTGCATGTGCACTCTTGCAAACAAACCACAAGACTTGTCATAAACATGAACTTCCACAAAAAGTGCTGCCAACAACTGCCCAAAGCAGATGTTTCCTCAGCTTAACAACTTCAAAATTTAAAATCATAATAACGATACAGGTATTACATTGGAAATACTCTGGCACTGGTCCTGAGGGCCAGTCCAAAAGCAGGTAACCACGACCAGGGTTACCTTGGGGAGTTCAGCTGTGTAGGTAGCAGCAACTGTGCAAGTTGCCAAAGCCTCAACGAAATACCACGCTAGGCACCTGCTAAGAAGTGTCTTAACTTTGAGGAGACACACTGTAGCTGTACAGCCTGTCACCCAAACATTACCTACTCAGCTAGGCACTATATAAAGGAACAAAAAAGGGAAAATCACATAAAAGTATTCAGGGGGAAAAAAAAAATATCCCCAAGGGGAAAAAAACCCCAACAACAAAAAGCAAAAACAACCCCCCCCACCCCCCCCCAAAAAAAAAGAAACCACACAAAAAACTCCAACTCAAACCACACAGGTCTGAGCAAATTTTTATACAGTGCAGACTAAGTTTAAAAACTTAATTTTGTAAATTAGTTGTGTAAAAATGAGCTTTAGTGGCTGCTGAGGTAATTTTCCCCGGAGGTTGCTGTAGTGACAGGCAGGCGGTGCATTACCAAGGTGATGCGTGTGTAAGGAGCTGCCAGCATGACCCTCTCCCCATGTCAGGAGAACTGCCACCGCCTGCAGATCACCACAGCATGTTTGTGATCTGCACGCTACCAGAAGCGGAGGAAGCCTTTTGTTTCCCAGTCAGCACTAAGAGAGAAGCACTTACCTTTAAGGCATTTCACATCACCTATGACCTCTAACAAGATCCAAGCCTGCAGCCAGCTCCAGGAAAGCTGCCAGGCTATGGAGGTGCTAAGAAGGTCCTTGAAAGAGAACACGTTTCAAAGGTGCTGTTTGCCCACATTTCAAATTAAACAGCAGGAGCAGCATCATGGGAGTAGACTGACTGGCTCTGTACTTCCCTACTTGCCTTTCTCAGAGAAATCAAGCAGAGAGGTAAGACTCCGAGCCTTAACAAACAGACTGGAATTGTTTTAACCAATAACCTTCTTCAAGAGGTTAAATATAACTCCATCACCATGAACAGGTTACTCAACATTCAGCTTTAATTCACTTCCAAAAGCTACATCACCTAACAAAAACTGACGATCAAAACTTACCTGAATTTACTTTCAGGGAATGAGGTCTTGAAGCACCGTCAACATGAAAAAACATGGGGCAGGCACTTTAAACACCCTCCTCTAACCATGAGCTAACATTTCCCATCATCTTTGAGGCCAGATTTTTGTGGCAAGTAATCAGGTGATAAAGTAGGATTTTCTCAGGAATGAATCCATAAAAGTGATTTCTGTAA